ATCTTCTTTATCCAGTCATCTGTTGATGGACATTTAGCTGTTTCCATGTCTTGGCTATTGTAAATAGTGCTGCTATGAACATTGGGATGCAGGTGTCTTTTTGAAGTAGGGTTCCTTCTGGATATGTGCCCAACCATCAATTTGTTTTGCCTTTTTAAAAAAAACATTGTGTAAACTGAATTTCACTTTATGTGAGATTTACTCTTGTTGAGGGTGGTTATAGCTGGTTCATTTTCATGACTATATAGTGTTTCATTGTGGGGTTTTTCCATGCTGTACCCGTTCTCAAGGGCATGTGGAGTGTTTCTGGATTGGCATTACAAATAGTGCTGTTGTGAACAACTGTCCTGGTAAACTCACGTACATATTTCTGGTTTATACAAATCTAGGAGTGGAATTGCTGGGGATGGGTTCAATTTCCTTAGGCCATTTGCCACTTACTAGTGCTGTGAATCAAGGCAAGTTATTCAGCTTCTCTGAGACTTCCTTTTCATATCTGTACATTGGAAATGCAAATACTTGCTCCTAAGGGTTGTGGCCGGCACTTAATACCTGCAAGGCGCCTGGCCCCAGGGTAGCCCCACTTCCTTACCTCCTTCCTCTGCTGTGCCAGAGCCCCCTCTGCCCAAGCACACAGCTCTTCTGCCAGGTGCCCTCTTTGCCAGGAATTCTCCGCATGAAGTTGGAAAGCTTGCCTGCTACCCAGGGCTGGTGGGGCTGCCTTTCCTCTGCCCATTTGCAGGCTCTCCTCTGTGATTCAGGCACTGGCACCCAGCCCAGCAGTAGCTTGCTGTGGTCACTGTTACCACTAACAAGTGTTTTTATGATGGTCCCTGCTAGAGTCTGGCTTGCTACGTATGTTTTCCTGGAGAAAGGCCCAGCAGAAGCAAGGAATGAAGAGGAGAGGGGCGAGCTGGCTGAGATCAAGCCCAGGAATCTAGAACTGGCTTTCCTCTCTTACTGGTCTTTCCCCACAGATATCCAGGCAGAACTTTTTCTTAAGCCCCTGTATTTCCCTATCTTCCTAGAACACCTTGAGTTGGGAAATGAGGGAGAGAGTGGGCCAAGTGGGGAAACTGCCAGGGGGTGGGGGGGTGCTTTGTCAAGACAGAGATGACTTCTCTGTGTAATGGCAGCCTGGAGCCTTGCATTGAGAAGGATTCTGAAGGTATTGTCCAGGCTCAAGAAAGAGTGCTGTGATTGATTGGTTATGTCTGTTATGTGCATGAGACTTGGTGGTGATGGCACACATGTCATGCATGTATTTTCTGTGATCTCTGGCTTAAAGATGTTGGTAGTGTTGGTCAGAATGGACATGTATTTGATTTAGAAATATAAATAGAATTTTTTAATAGGTGAGTTAAATCCCTTTACATTTATATAATTATTAGTATATTTGGTTTTATTTCTACCATTAAACTTTGTGTTTTGTCTTTACTATTCTTTTCCTTTTCTTTATTGATTTTACAAAGTTTTCTGTAATCTCTTGGTCTCTTTTCTCTTCTTAGCTGGTTTGTAACATACAAAAATATTTATCTTATTTAGGAGCTATTTAAAAATACTTCATAAAAAATATGGGATGCTTCACAAATATACGTATCATCCTTGCACAGGGACCATGCTAATCTTCTCTGTATGGTCTCAATTTTAGTACATGTGCTGATGAAGCGAGCACTAGAAAATTTTTATGTATATCTGTTATTCAGTGTTTCTACCTTTCTGAACAATGCCCTTCCTCCCCTAGCCTGTTTTTTATCTAGAAGCTTTATCATTTTATTTTTTAAGCTTTATCACTTTAAATGCAACATTGATGATGATTTTCTCAGTTGATTAAATTTGTTTATTTATTTTATACAGTTACTTGCTCATCATTGTTTCCCTTACACATTACATTTTCTTTTTGCCGACTACCACCACCATTACTACTAGTAGTGGTTAATATTAACTGAAGGCTTCCTTTATGCTAGACAGTGTCCTGATAATCCTACATGTTTTGAATCCATGATCCCCCACACCATCCTATGAGCTTCTCACCCCTCCTCTGTGGGTGAGGAAACAGTTGCAGAGAGGTCAGGCAGCTGCCCGAGGTCAGCAGGAGGTGGCTGAGAGGCCATCCTTGAGTCTATCCTGTGTTTAGATTTTGTATTCTGAAATCATTTCAGATTTACAGAGAACTTGCAAAAATGGTACAAAGATTTCCCCTGTACCCTCCACCCCCAACTTTCCCTAATGTTAACATCTTACAAGACTATGGTGCACTTAGCAAAACTAAGAAATTCCCATCAGTATGGTACTACTGACTAAATTACAGGCTTTATTGTATTTCACCGGTTCTTCCACTAATATCTTCTGTTCCAGAATCCAACACAGTATATACTACATTGCACTTGCTATATATGTATTTTTTGTTTGTTTACTAGCTCTGTACTTTTATATAAATTTCAAATCTTCCATGATATATATATTTTAAATATATATTACATATAAATATATATTTATATATTTATAACTATTTTTATTAAAATATAACATATATTTATCCATAATATATAATATAATATATATTTATAATATGTTATAAAATATATTAAAATAAAATTAAGAAATTTTTATTATGGAAGATTTCAAATTTATATAAAATACATTTAAAAATTATTTTTAAAAAATATAGTATATGATTTATATAAATATATAATATTTTATGATCTAATATATATTTACATTAAAATATATAATAAAATATATTAAAGTGTATTTTTAAACTTTTTATTATGGAAGATTTCAAATTACATTAAGTATATATTTGAAGCTATTTTTATTAAAAATATATATCTAAATTATCTAATTTAGATATACTATATAATATTGTGTGATATAAATATATATTTATATGGAATATATTAAAATATATTATAAAATATATTAAAATACATTTTCAACTTCTTATTATGTAAAATTTCAAATTTATATAAAAGTAGAGAATCGTAAAATAAACAAACTTATATAAAAGTGGAGAGAATAGTAAAATTTATCCTTAACTTAGCTTCAACAATGACTAACTCATGACCAATTTATTTCATTCACACCCCAAACCAAATTACTTTTTTTTCTTGGTCCTGTTGGCCTGTAGTTGGCAGACATGTGCCGCACACATCACTTTCTTATTTCACCTGCTTCCTATGTGACAAGTCTCCAGTCCATGCATTTTATTAACCACAGAGCTGCTTTTTACCAAGAAGAAATCTTTTGTTTTTGACTGTAGTGAGTTTGATATTCTTATATATTCTTTTTTTTGAATTTTATTTTATTGAGTTATAGTCAGTTTACAATGTTGTGTTGATTTCCAGTGTACAGCACAATTTTTCAGTCATACATGAACATACATATATTCATTGTCACATTCTTTTTCACCACGAGCTAACACAAGATCTTGTATATATTTTCCTGTGCTACGCAGTATAAACTTGTTTATCTATTCTATATATACCTGTCAGTATCTACAAATTTCGAACTCCCAGTCTGTCCCTTCCCACTCCCCTCCCCGCTGGCAACCACAAGTTTGTATTCTATGTCTATGAGTCTGTTTCTAGGAAGAAATCTTTATGTAATGCTTTGTAGAAACAGTTGAAGGGATCAAGAGTGGCAAAGTTTGATTACCTAAAAAAAAAACTTAGTTAAAATTTCCTCCTGAAAAATTTTCAAAAGATTTGTTTTTTGCTGTTTTAAAGTGTATTTTAATTTTTTGACCAGATAATGCATTCATGTGTGTTCACAGATGAAAGTTATTATAGGTAAAAAGTTTCTCTTCCCTGGCCTGAAGTCACCCAGCCGTCTTCCCTGGTGCAGCTGATATTAGAGAAGAGAGCAACATTTTCTATAAGGGATCAGATGGCAAACATTTTAGGTTTGTGGATGGACCCCTGTACTAGTGTATCCTTGAAGAGAAATTCTGTGCAAGTTCAAGCACATCCCTCCACACGTCCTCTGCTACAAATCAACAAAAACAGTGGCATGGACCTGGCTTTGATCAGTTAAACCAGGGCTTGGCAAACTACAGCCCACAGGCCAAATCCAGCCCATCACCAGTTTCTGTAAATAGTTTTGTGGGAACATATGTTCATTGTCTACATAGTGCCTTGTGGCTGCTGTCATGTTACCAAGGCAGAGCTGAATAGTTGTGACAGAGACCGTACGGGCTTGAAAAGCCTAAAATATTTACTCTTTGGCCCTTTAGAAAAAAGTTAAACTGGTCTCTGAGTTACACAACATGGCTTAGCCTTTCCACGTCAGTACAGAAAGAGCTTCCTCATTCTTTTCACAGCAGCATACTGTTTCATCACATGGCTGCATCATAATTCCTTTAACCAAATACTCCTAATGGACATTTAGATCATTTCTGACTTTTGCTGCTACAAATAATGTTGCAGTGAATACTCTTCTACTTACCTCATTGTCCACATGTGTGAATATATTAATGGAATATATTAGGAGTGGAATTACTCCCTTATATTGATAATTTTTATAGCTATTGTCAAATTGCCCTCCAGGGAGGTTTACCAACTTATTCTCACCAATGTTATGAAAGTGCCCTTTTTTGTCCCACTTTTGCCAGCAAAGTGGCCTTAAGCCTATCTGTCAGGTGGAGGAAAAAAAGCATCTCAGTGTAGTTTAGTTTGTATGCCTTTTATTCTGGTGAGTTGCGTCTCCTTTTGTGCTTTTAAGGAGACTGCATCTCCTTTATGCTCCTGGTAGTTTACTCTCCTGGTCTGATGATCTTCTGGGAGATGGTCAGGGATGGCGTGTGGTCCTCTCTCTCTGACTCCCCTGTGTCGCTATCACAGACAAGCTTCTGGGGGACAAAAGTCTTAAGGACGAACATGGGATGGCAATTCGTGCTATCGACATTCCAGACATTGGGGTTGGGGAGCCTGGGGGACACCGGAGGGGTGTTTCCGTCCTGCTTTGAACTTGGAAGGCTGACCTTCAGAGGGCTCAAGATGTCCTCTTCCTCCACTGTGCTTCTGTTGACACAGGCAGCCTCGTGCTCCTCCAGCTTTTTGATGGGGACCACATGGCAGGCGTTGTATTTACAGCTGGTCATCTTTTTGGCTTTCTTGGGGTTCTTTCTCCTGCATGATGCCAGGTGGTACTGAAATCTGCTGAGTGGGATTCGGTGATGAGGGCTGTAAGGGCAAATTTCTAAGGCTTCTGGCTCCATGGGAAATAGTTCTTGAAGCAGAATAGCTCACTGCCGTGGGTCAGAATGAAGTGCCCTTCATGGAAAAACCCTTTGGTAAGAAGGATGGAACAATCCTCTGCACCAGCTCCGGCCCTTGGAACTTACGGGTGAAGCTCTTAACTCATGCTGTCTGTTCTCTGGGACTATGAATGGTGAATCGGAAGAAGGACAAGGTGCTGTTAGGAGCAGCGCACAGAGAACAGATAGTTATCAAATGGCACATGAGACGGAAGACTACACAAAGCAGGTGCAAGGGCCAAAATCCACTGCAGCGCCTCAGGGAGGTAAACAAGATATATGCCAGCCCGCCCGTGACTCAAAGCCACAGGATGTGATGTTGCCGGCCAGTCACAGATGGTCACAGTGGGCAGCGTGAGTCATCAGGAAAAGGCTGCTTGTTGTCCATCACTTTCAAGGGACAGGGCTTCAGGAAAGCTGCCTGCCGTTCAAAGCTGTTGGTGGCATGTCTGTTGTCATTTACCTGTCTTTATACTTACATGTTTAATGTAACTTCTGATATATTTGGGCTTAAATCTACCATCTTATTTTGTGCTTCCCAACCTGCTCTTTGGTTTCTTTATTCTTTTTCTCTCTGCCTCCTTCCCACGGGAGAAAACCCAAAGTCCTGACTCGTCGTGGGGGATAAATGCTTGGCCAGTGCTCACTGGGGGCTTCTCAGGTTCCGGCAGACTCTCACTCTGCACTGGTGGGAGTCTAGTGCCTCCAACCAAGCTGCCCGCTGTGAGGAATGAGAGGCCCATAGAGCCACGCTCACTGTGCCATCCACTGCATGTCCTGTGCACCAGGACAGCTCCTCATGTACTCTGCTGCAAAGGAGTCCTTTGTAAACGGTAACTCCTACACCCTTCATGTGACAAGGGCTCATTTTCTCCAAGCCTGCCACCCAGTATTGAAGGAATTATGACACTGGCCCTACTGGGAGTTAACAGTTGGCCCAGCCCCTGCTCTCACATGTCCTCAGAGTCCAGCATGGTGTTTGTGAATGATGCTGACAGTGTTTTTTTGTTCCCAGTCCTGTAGCCTCGTTCATGCTCAACCAGTGGTGGCCCAGGCTCCAGTGGTTCACACAGCTGTCAGTCTGCAAACGGAGACGATAATGAAAGCACATCTTCCGTCATTAAAATCCACATAATAAGGAACAGGGCATTAGCTGTTTTAGGTTTCTTTGTGGTCAAGCACCCATTAGTGAGGCAGGCCCACATGCAGTCCATTATGGAGAGAGAGGAGGCTGGGCTCGTTAATGATTCTAATGGATATCTTGAATGGTCCTCCAGCCTGCAGTCTTCTCCCAGCATTTACTTCGAGGCTGGGATCTCGCAGGTCGCTCACCATGGCAACAGGAAGGGAGAGAGGGATGCAGACACACCTGTCTGGGCAGCACATCTCAGGCCTGTGCACGTCTGAGACCAGTAATGCAGGCGAGTTCAGATCTGCTTTCTGCTCCTTCTCTTCCCACACTGATCGTCTTGAGAGAAGCTGCCAACAGCTGGAGATGCAGGCGTGGGGAAGAGGTCGCAGAGTGTGCAGGAACAGTGTTTCCCGAAAATGAACGCTGTGTGTCCTGGCCAGTGAGTCAGCTGTTATTAAGGGGTGGGATGGAGGATCCAGAGTCACTGTGAATCTGAATTCTTCAGGCTCTGATGCCCTTCAGGCCAGCTTCTCTCCCAGTGCCGGCACCCCTTCCCAAGCATCCCTGGAGGACAGTCATACAGTGACCGGGAGCTCCCTACCTCACCAGAACGTTCCCATGTTAGGTTTCTCATGCTGAGCTGAGCTGAGCTGCCTCCTCATGGCCTTTATCAGTTAGTGTGAACTCTGGTCCCAGAACACCCTCCAGGGTGTAAGGATATCCTCAGCATGCCAAACTCATGCCATGTGGACGTGGCACTGAGGTGGGGGAGCCCCTCCATCTCTGGCTCCTTGCATCTCATTGCATGTCCAGCAGGCAGGTGTGGACAGCCTAAGGAGCCATCTGAGAAGCTCTGGTCCCTGCTTCTCCACGCTGTCCTCCATGGGCAGTCCTTGTCCATCCGTCCTCCTTCACTCCCTCCCTCCCTCCCTCCTTCCTTCTTTTCTCTTTCTCTCTCTCACTTGCTTCCTGCTCCCTCCCTTTTAATGGGCTTCCACAAGTCTAGGTATCTTACCGCTATTTACAAGTAGCTGCATCTTAAATTCATCAGTTCTACGATTTGTATGTTTTATGTCTCATTAATTTTTACCTCTACTTTGAATCATCTCCCTAGGTTTACCTTGTTGCTTATTTTCCAGCTTCTTGAGTTGGATGCTGTGTTGACTTGCAGTTTCCGCATTGAATAACACACTCTCTGAGATTTGCGACGTGGAGTTCCAGTTGTCATTATGTTCTGAATGGCCTGTAATTGCCATTTTGGTCCCTTCTACAATTTGAGTTATTTAGGAATAAATTTCCAAGTGGTTTAATTTTTTTTCCTGTTTATCCTTTTGTTTTTAATTTCTATTTTTATTGCTTTGTGGTCAGATAATGTGTCCCGAGAAAGACTACTTGTTCGTACCTCGGAGGTCTTCATTGTGCCCTAGAATGGCTTCTGTTTCTGTCATTTCCTTACTGATGCTTGAGTGTAATGTCTTTTCTGTTTGTATTTATTTATGACACGGAACTTACTTTTTCCAAGCTGGCATACCTTGGAACACGAGTCCTGCAAGGAGCTTGGGGGGTACCGGGGCCATCAGCAGGGACCCAGGAGGTCCTGAGGTCGACCCACCGTGTGCCCTGGTGCCACTCAGTGTCTCCTGGGTGCGGCCTCTTCTCCCAACACCTCATACCGCCTGCGGCAGCTAGTGCTCCATGGAACATAGTTCAGAAAATTCTGTTTTAAGGTTTTCTCTTATTTCTTGAGGAACAACTATTTATGAAGGGTCATGGTACAGGCATTCCTCATTTTTATGGCACTTTGCTTTCTTGCCTTTTATTTTTTTAAATCAGATTAAAGGTTGGTGGCAACCCTGCATCCAGTGAGTCTGTTGGTGCCACGTTTCCAACAGCATTTGCCTGCTTCATGTCTCTCGGTCACATTTTGGTAATTCTTGCAATATGTCAAACTTTTCATTGTTGTTGTATTGGTTATGGTGGTCTGTGTGATCAGTGGTCTTTGATGTTACTATTGCAGAAAGATTACAACTCTCTGAAGGCTGAGATGATGGTTAGTGATTTTTAGCCATAAAGTATTTTAAAATTGAAGTGTGTACATTGCTGTTTTCTTTTTCTTTTTAGTGAAGTGTAGTCAATTTACAATGTTGTGTCCATTTCTGGTGTACTGCATAATATTTCAGTCATACATATACATATATATATTCCTTTTCATTATAGGTTACTATAAGCTATTGAATATAGTTCCTTGTGCTGTACAGTACAAACTTGTTTATCTATTCTATATATAGTATTATTACCTGCAAATCTCAAACTCCCAATTTATCCCTTCCCACCCCCTTCCCCCACTAGTAATCATAAGTTTGTTTTCTACATCTGTGAGTCTGTTTCTGTTTTGTAAATAAGTTCATTTGTGTCTTTTTTTTTTAGATTCCACATATAAGTGATATCATATGGTATTTTTCTTCCTCTTTCTGGCTTACTTCACTTAGTATGATGATCTCCAGGTCCATCCATGTTGCCACAAATGCCATATTATTCTTTTTATGGCTGAGTAATATTCCATTATATAAATATGCCACAATTTCTTTATCCAGTCATCTGTCAATGGACATTTAGGTTGTTTCCATGTCCTGGCTGTTGTTAATATGTACATTGTTGTTTTAGATGTAATTGTGTGACTAGTGCACACTTAACAGACTACAGTCTAGTGTAAACCTAACTTTTATATCCACGGGAAACCAGAAGATTCGTGTGACATGGGTTATTGTGATATTTGTTTTATTGTGGTGGTCTGGAGCCAATCCTGCCATATCTCCGAGGTCTGCCTGCACTCATTCCTCAGGTAGGACCTCTCCCTTTGGACCTCTGAGCCCATCCACAGGTCCTGAGCTGCTTCTCTCCTCACTTTTACAAAAAGAGGGGAGTGTCCATGTGGGATCTGCAGGATGCTGTGTCAATGTCAATTCAGGTGAGATTTACTGTCCTTTTGATTTGTTATCTTGGAGGCCCCATTGTCTGAGGGACCCATCCGAGGAATGAATGTACATGGCAATGAATTCACTGCTGTGCCCAAAGTTCTCTCTGTTTGCTTTAGCAGCCTGAAGTTAGCCAGAGCCCTTTCCACACCTGGCCACAAGAACAACTCAGACCTCATTCCAACATCAGTGCCAGGGGTGTGAAGTAGGGCCATGGCCTGAGTTGCCATGAGCCAGCCTTCCTGTTCTCCCCCAGGGGTAACTTCAACACTGAATGTTAGTCCCCTGTGGCTGCCCTGTGGATTTGCTTCCTTGCCCCCTGCTGCTTGGAGCTCCCCAGTTTCATGGCATCCTACCAGGAATATGACTCTGTCTTCACTTGGGTTCTCCCAGAAGCAGAGCCTGAGACAAGGATTCAGGTGCAAATAGTTTATTCAGAAAGTGCAGGTAAGGATGAGGAAATGAGATACATTTGTATATCCACTCACATACAGATACTAAAAAAGAATGAGACAAAAATCAGGATGGTGTATTTTCTACACTTTCTAAAACTTCCACTGAGCGTATTTTCCATAACAACAACAACAAAAAAAGCAAAAATCATACTTAGGAAAACATTTATGGGAATGAGTAAAGACTTACGAAGGTTAAGGTGTGAATGATCAAGCCAGCTACCTTGTGGGCATCTGAAGGCCTTTGGGGGAAACTATGGGAAATGGTACAGAACATACAACTCAGAATTACCCCAGCCAAGGGATGAGGGAGCTGGGGAATGTATACGCCAACTTCTAAGAGAGTCATTTGTTGAGGGCTGTTGTGGGAGGGTTTGTAAATTCCTCAGCACTTCCACCCTG